AAGTATACAAATATCTCTAGCATTAAAAACACTAAACTTTGGAATTGTAGCATTGAACCCACCTGGCATAAATGTCAGAAGAGTCTGATTCTCAGTGTTCATATTCTCTGTTAAGTCAATAAATGTATAGGAAATTATAGCTTAGCTCTTCAGCTCTTATTGTATTAAGCATCATTACTAACATTTTTGCTGGCTGATACTTTAACTATCTTCCCAAGACAACAAACATTTGTTCTATTTTAAAGGAGGCCATGGTGGTCTGGTATCAGAGGCCCTTGTCACTATTACTTGCTTGTCATTGAATCCAAGGCAAATTATCAGCATCTTTGTGTCTCCGTTTTCTGAAACATGAAATGTGAATAGTAATACTTACTTTATGGGGTTGTTACAAAAATTAAACTTAATAATATATGCAAAGCATTTGGAAACTGAGTGGAATACAGGCCATATTCAACTCTTACTAGCTGGCATTCACTATATCATCCTGCCTTGGACTCATCTATGAAGTTAAATGAAACATAAACATTACTACATCATGGGCAGGGCACACTCTTTAGGAGCTTTCCTCTCATGTAAAATAATTTTATATTCAAATCTGTATCTTCTAGAGAACTTTGGAAAGTGTGAAATAAAAATATAGATGAAGGGAATACAAAATTAAAGACTGAATACCTTACACATAAAACAGGACTAACTTTCTAAAAAAGGGTAACTTGAAGCCCTTTGACCTGAGAAAAACAAAACACATCATTTATATTAATCAGCTATTGCCATTTTCTTACACAGTTCTGCATAAATAAATCATTCCAAAATGCCTTTCTCACAACCCCTTGCTTATTCTCATTCTCACAAGTCTTTTTTGCATCTTCTGTGGTTCACTAGATATGGACTGGGCTCAGCTGGATGGTTCTATTTCAAGCTGTGAGTTGCCTGAACCTGGCTCCACACTGTGGTTTGGGTCCAGGTCTACACCACATATTTCTCAACCTCCTTAAACAAGCATCCACAAAGCATCTTGTTGGCCTGGCAAATGTCAGGAGCACAAGCAACCAATCCACTCATAAAATACATTTAAGCCTTTTGCTCAAATTTCATTCATACCATTTCATTTTCCACAGCAGAGAAAAGGGCCAAATCCAACATCGGTGAGTTGTATTTTCTACCAGCAATGAGGGACACTAAAATACACTGAAATACTGTCACAGGGGATTGAAGAATTAGGAGCAAGACTCTAATCTGAAAATCACTATATTTAACTGTCTATACTCACTCTGTGCCTGAAACCTCGAGATTTTTACATGAAAAGGCTTACAATCTCAGCTACTCAGGAGGCTAAAGCAAGAGGATCACAAGTTCAAGGCCAGATGAGGCAACTAAGCAAAACTGTCTCAAAATACAATTCAACAAACAAGGGGTGGGATTGCAGCTAGGCTAAGCAGTAGAGTGTTTGTGTATCATATGTGAGGTCCTGGAGAGAGAGACAGGAAGGGAGGGGAGAGAGAAAGAGAGAG